ACTTTAATGTATAATAGAAGTTATTGTTCACATGGGTAACCTAGGGTTGTGGGATATCGCACAATGAACTTTCTTTGTTGTGAAATATTATCATTCTTGATGTTTTCTTTGTCTGGCATAGACATGCTACCTCCTCCTGCAGTGGTCAAAAATCTGTTAATGTAGAACATAAAGCCAGCCAGTTCAAGTGAGGATTGTAGAAGTCAAGTGTTTGTCATATAATTTAGAACATAGAGCCAGCCAGTTCAAGTGAGGATCCTAGAAGTCAAGTGTTTGTCATGTAATGAAGAACATAGAGCCATCCAGTTCAAGTGAGGTTCCTAGAAGTCAAGTGTTTGTCATATAATGTAGAACATAGTGCTAACCAGTTCAAGTGAGGACCCTAGAAGCCAAGTGTTTGTCATATAATGTAGAAAATAGTGCCAACCAGTTCAAGTGAGGATCCTAGAAGCCAAGTGTTTGTCATATAATGTAGAACATAGAGCCAGCCAGTTTAAATGAGCATCCTAGAAGTCAAGTGTTTGTCGTATAATGTAGAACATATAACCATCCAGTATAAATGAGCATCCTAGTAGTCAAGTGTTTGTCATATTATGTAGAACATAGAGCCAGCCAGTTTAAAATGATGATCACAGAAGTCAGGTGCACTTTTATTTTGTGTACTTTTATTATTGTTTTCTTGTCCGAATTAGATTATTACTTTGCTTCACTTAGCTTATAATCTGCTTTATAACTCGGTACTTTTATATTTGAAATCAGTGTACCTGAACAGGTCACTATTTAGAGATTTGTGAATTGTTATTTCTATTTGCAGTGTTTTATTACATATAGTTTCTTTTGGTATTTTAGGAAGGTTTTCCTTGACTATTGCAGTAAAACATAATGTCTTGTCATCTAGTGGTTAGTAAGCTGGGCTGTATTTCCGAAGGTCCAAGGTTTAACTTCACACTTTCAGCTGTGTGTACTTTATAAAAGTGACAGTCCCGATATTTGGTTAAGAGCAGTGTTGTAGTCCTTTTGGTTAGCATTTGTAAGATACAGCCGTCCAGTTCAGGTCATTGAAGTGTCTATAATCTATATACAACTGTGTTGTAAAGTAATGATCAAGCTGTACTTATTTGTGGCCTTTCAAACCTGATCTATAGTCTATTTTTTAAACCTTCTCATGATATTTGTATCATGTCGTAAAATACAAGACTATTTTATAAAATATTGGCAGACATGCCTGGTGTTGCTCGGGGGAAAAATTGAGAATGAAAAGGAAATGAGTACAAAAACATATTTATTTCAAAACTTTTATTTTTCTAAAAACATAATGTAACATATACATACACAAACATTAATACTAAAAATGAAATAACTACATCAAATAATATCTTTGTAAACAATGTTCCTGGACTTGCTTTCTGGTGCAAAGTAATGTAAATGTTTTTTTACTGTCTACATGCGAGCATCCAACATAAAGCTGCCCATGAGAAAAGCAAGATGTCAAATTTAGTCCAACCACCTTTAAAGATTGTCATTGAGCTTTGTTAACAGACATTGCAAAGTTGAGTTGGATGGGGAATTAAAATCTCTTGAATTCAAAGGCTGTATCAGTTGGGCTGATAGGTTTATCCGAGGCAGAAAGACATCCTCACTTTTGAAATGATTGTAGCTTGTGCCATTGCATAGCCTAGGTGAGTCCAAGTTTCTCAAAAGCATGAGAGATGCCCCAATTTTGAGAACCAACCTCATAAGTTCATCAATTTTGAGTTTAAACACCCTGGCAATGATGTCATGTCTCTCTATTGGCTTTTGGTTTTGATAAAAATCAATTTGGATCTCCTTCCATTTTGGATTGCAAGTGAAGGTGATGAAGAGATTGGGTCTGCCATATTACTTGACATAGGTCATTGCATCTTGAGTCCCCTCATGCATGTATCTTGGTCGACCTGTGAAGGATGAAGGCAAAATAACCAATCTCCCCACATTCTTAGCGTTTACACCTCTATTGGCATTGACAGCACCCCGTGATGAACGTACTGTTGTACAAGCAGGTGTTTTTGATTGAGTTGAATATAAGCAAAGCCACTCACTCTTAGTTTTGGTGTACTCATCCACAACATAATGGTGAAAAAGGTTGATGCACTTTAAGATGTGGCTTCCTCCTTCTCTGTCTATGATCATGAAAGAATAGAAGTTATTGGAGGAGACAGTTTCGTTAGGATGAGTTTGGCCTGTCACTTTGATAATCTTAGGAATCTGGAAGTGGTACCCATCTTGACCTTGCCACAGGATCATAGGATACTGTAAGGTATCATAGGTTCTATTTGTCTCAGGAATTCGTTTGGTGGTGGTACTGAAGAACAATGTTTCTCTTATCATGCTCTTCACTCACCCACTCACCTTAAAACAGCGACTTTATCATAGGTTGGGGTTGAATCTCCGTGCATGCTCCCCCCTCTAGGGACCTTGTCTGCCCTGATTACAACCTTGTAATCATTGGAGGTGATTTGTTGAACTGAATGTTTAAAACTTCTGATCAATGAATTGTGTTGGTGGAACATCCCTTGGAGGGAGAGGATAATATCTAGTTAGACATCAGGAACATGGCTGCATCGCTAGTTGCCTTGCTGATCTTCATCTCCCATGAAGTAAATCTGGACAAACTTGGGGTTTCTCCAGGCAGTGGCTGAGTGGATCCGATTCGATAACAGACTTGGCCTTTGAAGATGGGTATAAATCCTGGCTCCACTATCTCCTGTGATGCACCAAAAGAAGTCATTTGAAAGCTAGAATTGTATTTCCTGATGCTGGCCAGAAAGTGCTTTGACTCAGAGGTTTGACCAGATACCAAGGATTTCAGTGGCTTAGGAGAGGTCTTCACATGGCTAAGCTTGACTTTTTCTTCACTACAGCACATTCCCTTGGATTCTCCTTTCCACTTTTTAGCACCACCTTCTTGGAAAGTAACTAACATAGAGCCTATTGACACCCTGGACTGGTAATCTATCTCAGGTTGGTAACTTAAAGCAACTATGTTCCAGTCAGGGTTATTTCTTCTTGTTCTTGCAGCAGCAGCATGTTGGTCTTGCCTCTGGCGCTCCCTTCTTCATTGTGGTGTTTTGTTGGCTCTGGTTGCTGCAGTGGACCTTCGATTTCTGAGTTGTTGAGATCGATGGTGTTCAGGTGTTTCCTCACCTCTTGCTGCTCCAGTGGACCTTTGGTTTCTGAGTTGTTGAGAACGACGGTGTTTAGGTGTTTCCTCGGCCCTTGCTGCTGCAGTGGACATTTGGTTTCTGAGTTGTCGAGATTCCTGCTCCTCAGATGACTCCCCAGCCCTTGCAAATGCGGTGAATTCCTTTCTTCTTTGTTGTTGAGACTCCCGCTGCTCCAGTGTTTGGTTTGCTCTCTTTGTGGATGTCTTGGGCTTACAGAGGCTGGACTTCTTACGTTTTGGCATTTTGGGAGTGATCTGTAGCGAAAACAAATGGAAAAGTCTGGAGTGTAAAGTAGGACGTATACATATTGTTTTCAAGTAAAAACGATAGTTTGGTCGATCAAAGGATAAAGGACGTATTTCAGCACATGTATAGAGCAATTAATAACTGAATGGTGGGAAAACGAGGAGGCAATTAATAACTGAATTGTGGGGGGGGGGGGAAGCGAGGAGGTAATGGACTCCTCTACCTCAACCTGGCTACGACCCTGATTACAGTAGTGCTTGTGTGTCACTTCCCCTTCAGAGATTTACCGAATTTTGTAACCAATCACGGACATTGGACAATCCCCAAATAAAACTTTGTGTTGGAAACAAGTGATGAGTGAAGATATAATTCTGGAATGTAATTTCCGAAGGAAGCGGTGATATAATCAGTCAAGTTTATCGGGCTTATTGTATTTTAAATGCTACAATCTTTATTTGGTACCCTGGTTTTTTTCCAAAACGGTGTACAAATATAATTGATTATAATCACAATTCCCCAGCAGGAAGTATTCACACCATAACAATTGTTACTGTAACAAATAGGTTATATAAG